GAGTCCTTTGTTCCTTCTTAGCTTGGGTTGTTGCTTTGAGGCCTTTCATTAACCAACTAGGTAACATCATCAGTGCAAGTGAGTGTGGGGTTTGCTCCCTGTTTATATACAGTAGCTTGGAGTTTTCCTTGCTAAATACTTTTGTATGTTTATCAAATGCACACACTTACAGAGGGAGAGTGCTGTAAAGGTACCAGCATTTATGAGTCTTTTTGTTAACTCACTGTATTATTCTTGCATTTAATTTTGTGAAAGGAAAATCCAGAAGCGTAGTAATGTATATTTTAAAGCTGTCCTACAAATTTTATGAGTATAGATATTTCTAGCCTGGCCAATTCTTGGCCCCAAATATATTCCAGTTAGTAAAAGATATTTACTCCAGATTTCGGCATATATTCCTTATTCCATTGGGAAATGGTATAAAAATACAGTTTCTCTCTGTGATGGAATCCTATCCATACATTCAGCAACTAGAAATCTGAAAAGTTCACCTTCCGGGTGGGAGAGTGGGCAGCTGGGTGAGTCTCTTCCTTTTCTCCTCTTCCCTGCCAACTAACAGCCAGTGGATTTTAGTTTTTTTTTTTTTTAAAGATCTCCAGATATGCATCTTCTTATTTAATACAAATCATTCACTGCCCTGACTGTGGGCAGTTACTTACTTAGAACAATTACTTATCTGTTCTGTAGTTATAGTGTAATGTTGGGTAATGCCCTGTATACCTAACTATAATTTCTGGCTTCTCTTCAGTGATGATTACCAAAAAAGTTCATTCCTAAATCATAACTTTTCATTATGGAGAAAGAAAACTAAAAAAAAATCCTATGATTATAAGATTCAAGAGATGGGAAATGTTATCTGATGGAAATAACAGAAGTAAGTTGTCCAGAAAGAGAAGTCTGTGCTGATTATTTGCTTTACCTGGTTTGACAGGTGTCACTGATTCTCATCCCTTGTCACCAGAGTCTCAATAACTGTGTGTTTGCACATAGGGGCAGGTGTATCTTTGCCAATACTGCAGATTTAATTACTGCTTTGCCTGCTCTGCTTGCCTGAAACCTAGCAAATGAGGAGCATTTAACCAGCATGCCACTAGCACTATCCTTGGTCGTCTTATGTCAAATATGACTAGAATGGCAAATGGCCATTTAAATTTCTCAGAATGCCATGATAACTTTACCTGGGGTCTCTGCAAATAATCAGCACAGATTTCTCTTGTGGGAAGATAGCTGTTTCAGCCACCTAGGAAGAATTGCTGTTTTGCTCTTATCAAATATGCCCCGAAAGTCCCATCAGCATAAAATGTCTGATGTCCCCTCAAACATGGAGCTTCTGTGTATATACTTTCCAACACAAATTATGTGGGATTCGGAACAAAGGTACACTGTGAGGACAAATTGCAGCATCAAAGTCTGCTGAGATAGAAATATCCCTTTCACCAGGTTTGCCAAAAGCTTATGGCTAAACTTTTGAGACAGAGCCAAAAGTACCACTTACAGGCTTCTCTGTGTGTGTGAATGTGTTTGTGTTGATTTCATTGCATTGAAAAGCTTTGGGCTACCTATATCTCTTCCAAAAAAAAAAGATATTTCTTCAAGAAAAGAGTTTCAAAATATACATACCGGATGAACAAGGCACAAATGTTAGAAACAGATGGAATTATATTGAATTATATTGCTTGTTTTGTTGGTTGAATGAAATCTATTGAGTGGAAGGAGTATAGGTTTAGTACTGTCACACTGTAGTTATTTCATTGGATTTTAATATTGAAAAAAATAAGTCTCCTCAAGCTTTGGAAATTCAGATGTACTGTAAAATCTGCAAGATTAACCTGGCCTTCAGAGTTGAGATGTAATCAGGAGTTGCCAGGAAAGTTTGAAAGTCTTCCCTTACATGAGCCTACCTCTAACCTTAGATTTTTGTCAGAAGCTTAACTGAGTCCCTCTCACTCATTCTCTCAATGAGGACAAGCTTTCTCAGCAGCGGTTATGTGTTATTTTCGAACCTTATTCCCACAGCAGAGTTTGTTCCATATTATACACATACATCCATTTTGACATCAAGCTGAAAGAGTTTTATTTTCAGAGAACTCAAGAGCGCACTTGGCTATTCTTTTGACATATTTCACTTTCTTTGGTATCTGATTTTAGTTATGCTTCTTTTTACTATTTAATTATTCTATGTTTTATACTTTACGTCTGTTCTCATTGCTGCCCTGTAGTCCCAGAGTCAAAAGTTGGGAGATGGATAAGGTCCGAGTGTACTTCTCTGGGAATAAGTCTTTAGGAGAAGTAGAGGAGGAGTCTAATAAGTTTTTAAATGCTTGTGTTTCCTTGTGAACAGGCTCTAATCTCTATACAGCCACAGTTCATTCTTGTATTTTAGAGTGTACTTGGCATATATTAGAGAGCTTGTTCTACTCTTATCTGCAGGTATAATCTTCCCATGCATTTAGTTCTGCTAAAATATTTGTAATGGATGTGAGGAAGTATATTGGCCATAATACGATGGTAACCTAGAGTTCACAGACATGAGCCAAGCAAGAGGCCCCTGGCAGATATCCAAATTTCTTAAATTCTAAAAG